CAACGCATATTAATGTTGCTAGACTGAAGTAAAAAAAATATTTATTTATGTCAATAATATCGATTCATGACAACGAAATTTTTTCGGTGCGTTTACGGTTTTCAGTAATGCATAAACCTCCAGTGCGCGAGGCCCCCTGGATCGCGAGGCCGTAGGCGGTGGCCCACGTTGCCCACGCCTTACGCCGCCTCTGCTGATATTCTGTGCGAGCGTAGATCTTTCCCGGTCGAGCAGGCCCATTCGTGCTTCAACCATATACAGCTACAGCATCGCCCTACCAGATATATAATATATAGTACTAAACAGGCAAGAATGCTGTGCCACTGCTGGGCTCAGCATTTTCTTATTCTTGAGTGAGAAATTAGTCGACCATATTGCTCCAGTTCGTTAAGGCAGATTTTAAATATATTCGAATTATTTAATTCTTAGAAACCGATAAAAAACACAGTCATAATTTGTTTGTTCCATTTATGAAATTCTCTCTGAAGTCTGTTGGAGACTGTAAAGCGGTAAATTAACAAAGCTGTTGTTTTTGCCAAACGCAACAATGTGACTGGAAAGCTTGAACAACACTTGGCCAACGCGCCCGCATTTAACGCCAGTTTTAAATTACGCGCAGCCAACTTTCTTGCGCGGTTCAGTCTGCTGTAACCATGTTGATTTACATAATTGTTTCGTTTAAGCTCTTAACTCGTACTTACATTTACTTGATGACTTATGAAACAATTAAGGAAATATGTTTTGTTAATATTCAAGTATCGAATGGTGACCGTATAACGATATATTTAAGGTAACGATAACTCCATATTTCAGGTTACATTTATTTCAAAAAGGGTCAAATACATTCACAAAAGCCAATATCAACCAATCAATAAAATTCTGTCAATAAATTCTTTAATAACATATAATTTAAGTTCAATAAACCACTAATACTCTATAAGTTATTTATTGATTCTAGATTTAAATAAATTCATTTTGAGGTTTTTGAAGACATTGGGGATCTTACATAATATGCCTAAAAACACATTGCTAAACAACTTTTTCTAAATTTAGCAGATCTCGAAATGACGCTTAACACTAATCCATCCGAATTTATTTTCCATCGAGATTTTATATCTCTTGCTTTCTGAAAGAGCTCAGTATGACCTTTGACAAAGCAACTCATTTCAAAAATGTACAGTTCTAGCAACGGAAGTAAACTCAGGCTCCAAAAAGATGCTCTACAGGAGTCGCCTGGTGGAATCCCACATATATCTCTGATAGATTCTTTTTAGCTACAAATGCCCTTAGTCTTTTTTTTATAGAAGAGTGGGCAAACGAGCATATGGTTCACCTGATGTTAAGTGACTACTGCCGCTCATGAACATCCGCAACACCAGGGGAATTGCAGGTGCCTTGCCGGCCTTTTAGAAAGGAGTAGGCTTTTTCTTGAAGGTCCCCAGGTAGTATCGGTCCGGATAACTCCATTGCCGGTGGTAAATTATTCCACAGAGAGGTCGTACACGGAAGAAAACTCCTTGTGAAACGTACTGTGGCGGCGCTGTCGTCGCGCCCCAAGCGAAACATACCGAAGCCTAAATCACGTTATCAACATTCCGAATCATAAACAGCATATCAAGGATGTTGGTTACCACGATCGTCAATCTGTCCACCAAGCGCAATCTGCATGCTTCCGTACATTAGGAGAGGTCCATGTACAGCAGTGGACTTTATCAGGTTGATTATGAAGAACTTTAAGTAAAATTATAGACCATATACGTTCGACTGCGGGGCTTAAGTCTCCTCGAATTTCTGAGAGAGTTTTTAGAGTAAGGAAGTGTTTACTGCGTTGTGCTTGCGTGTGGACTTCACGCTTTTTTGAAATTTCATTTCAATTTTGCAGACACGCAGATTACTTAACGATGCTCCTTTATCACAGCACTAAAATAATGGCAACATTTTCATTAGTGCCATCAGGGATCTAATCCTGGATGCTTGCGTACTGTGAAATTTACTGTGGGCACTTAACATTGAGCTACCACGGCTACAGTTATTATAAGCATATTTATATTTATATAACAAATCTACTCAGATATGATTTCTGTAAAACATCTTACATAACTTTGGTTAGGAGTAAACAATAAAAGGGATTGATATCGGGTGCACATTTACATTTTTACTTGATTTTGTGTCGAAAGTTTTGCCGCAAATTTGGTAACACAAGAAGGTTCCCTCATATTCGATATTTATGCTGAATATTTTATTCCATTTCCGCATTTTTTTCTTTTGTGTATTACTTTCCTCATATTTTTATTTACGTATAAGAAATTTCTTTTATATTTGTCTTCGATTAAGAATCAAAACACAAATGCGTTGTCATCCCTGATGATTATGATAAAATGTCGCGTTACCAGTTAAAAGGTCACCAGTTAAAAGGTCCAATATTCAAAAGTAAGGAAATTTTGTTGCCGTTGATTTCCTAAGAACTCACCCCAAAACAAAAACGGGCTCGAGTTTATGCATGTAAAAAATGTTGTAAAAATAAGAATGGACTTTCAAATACTTTATATGATATTTGGACAGAAGGAAAACTACTGATATGTTCTTACTTTCCGGAAGGAAAGCAACAATATTCTATATTCGAAAGTGACAGTAAACCAACAAAGTCGGGACAGGCAAGATAATTTTAGGCAGGTGGAAAAAAATGTTTTTGTTTATCTGCACGATCCAAATTGTTAAGCACAAATGGTAACTTTGACATAATGATTTCTTATATTTACGCGAACACTATACATTGTAATAATACTAGTTTTTACGGATTTTATCGCGTATATTTAACTTTTTAAATACCCGACGTTTCGAGAGCTTTACAGCCCTCATGGTCACAGGGGGGGGGACTGAGATGTTCAACGTCCAGATGTCATAGTTAACCGCGGTTACCATAGATTAAAATTTAACTTTTGTTCCGATCTACACAGTATCAACTTATGGTATCTTGAAGTATTGCAGTTGTATGCTTGGGTAAGGATTTAATTTTATTTATTATAGGATCTCAAGCAGATGGTAGCACCCAGCCATCTTTTCTATTGAAATTAGGATATTTTTTGATTTCAATAGCCTCGCGAATCATCCTTGGAAGGAATCGGTGTTCTTTAGCGAGGATTTGTGGTCTATCAAATCTGATGTAGTGACGGGGGCGATCCTGTTATATGTGTTCACAGACTGCAGACTTCCCGGAGCGTCGATTCTTCATATCAGCTATATGTTCTTTAACGCGGGTTTTGATTGATCGTTTAGTTTGTCCTATGTAGGAGAGACCACATTCACAATCAAGCTTGTACACTCCTGCATCTTGCAGAAAGACGTTACACTTTTTTTTTTTTTTTTTTATAGAATAGGGTGACAAACGAGCACACAGTCCACCTGATGGTAAGTGGTTGCTGCGGCCCATAGACATCTACATCTATCCTCCATTAAAAATCAAAATGCAGATGCGTTGTCACCCGTGAGGACTGAGATGGAATGCCTCGTTTCCAGTAAAAAGGGTCTCCGGTTCTCTACACTCACCATACGAAATACAGCAGCATTAAGCTACTATTTCACGCTGGTATTCTGTGAGAGCGTGGTCCTTCCCCGGTCGAGCCGACCCATTCGTGCTATAACTATACTACTAATATAACTGCAGCATGGCTCTACCACGTACAAACACACTACACTTGACTGTTGGTAAAAACTGACCCATCTTCTTCGGGGGCTTGAAGTATGTTTTGTTGGAAGCGGGCTTCAAGATGTAGCCAATCTTGACAGTGACTCCTCTAACATATGACAGTACAGCAGGCATACGCTCGACTGTGACCGGCTTCACTCAAACGATTATTTGAAAAAAAAATCATGAGTGCAATTAGTTTTATTACAATTTTCGTATTTAAAAAAGGCTTGAAATAATAGATTTTCTCACAAAAGAAGGGAACTTGAAAAAAAAAGGAAAAAACTGGACCAGAGACAGGACGTGAACCATGGAACTCCGATATCACGCCCGACCGACATCCAACCTGAGCTATTACGATCGTTAGTGATTTGTCAAAATTTACTTTCTTATATTATATCGGTGTAGCAGTTTTTTATTGCCTGAAAACACGGACAAAAGGGCATTTTCTAAAAATAAATTCTAGCTAGATCGATTTATTGCCCCCCGAAACTCCCTGGACACTAAATTTTATGAAAATCGTTGGAGCCGTTTCCGAGATTCCGATTATATATATATATATATATATAAGGTAACTGTACCAGTCTTGGTAAGCGTTCTATTAATGGTCAATTTCGAAAAAAAACGGCAAAATAAGAAAACTAAACGTTGTAGGGAAAATGGCAACATTTAGTGATAAACCATATACACTCAGCTTGTGAAAAAATGACTTTTGTCATTTTGACACGTGACATTTGCAACATGGCGGGCCCTTGAACAGAATGCGGTGGTGAATTTATATAATTAGTGTTATTTTTGATAAGGTTGGTGAGTACTTCTGTTTATTATTTTATAATTATATAAGGGTTTTGAGATATTTCTTTGTTTTGATACTTAAGGTAACATACCTGTGTGATGAATGACACCAAAAAATGCACATATTTCTGTTTTGTAGACTTCTTAAACTGAACTGACCACTACTGGAACGTCGATTTATGATATTTCCAATGATGGTCAAATTGACCATGATGGGCACAATAGGGTTTTTAACTTTTTTCATAAAATTTTGAATGTTTATCCACAGAAACGAGTTCAAATTTTATCAGCGCCCCGTTTGAACATACCGGTCCAGTAATGGTCATAGTTACCATTATTGGGGTGACCATGACTGGATCACAGACCATAATGTTTGCATTATAATGGAGTATTATATATTTTTTTTGCTGTTATACAATTAAGTTTTTATCCTTTATACACGACTCTCCAAAAAAGGGTGTATTGTTTTGCAAAATAGATATTTTTTATAAATTTGATTTCTTTGTTTCATAAGGTAACAATGGCACCAAAGAAAAACTACACGCCTCATCAAATGTGCCTTGCAATGGAAGCTGTTAGAAAAGGGGACAGTTATTCAGCTGCAGCTGAGAAATATGGTGTACCGAGAATGACCTTAAGGAATAAAGTAACGGGAAAGAGTCCTGCTGTCTGTCATATGGGTCCTCCTACAATACTTTCTATGAATGAGGAAGCCATATTAAAAGAATGGTTCTTTGCAATGGCAGAACGACATTGCCCGATAGGAAAGGAACAGCTATTAGATTCTGTTCAACTAATTACAAAATCTGCTAATAGAAAAAATCCATTTACGAATGACAGACCAGGGAGGAAATGGTTCGATTTATTTTTAAAAAGACATCCAGAAATATCTGAGAGAGTTTCACAAAACTTAACCACATCAAGAGAATCTGTAAAAGAAGAACATATAGTCAAATGGTTTGCAGACGTAGAGAAGTATTTAGAAGAAAATAATCTTCCAGAAGTTTTGAAGGATCCAACGCGGATATTTAATACCGACGGAAGCGCGTTTTTCTTAAATCCTAAACCTGACCGTGTTTTAGTTAAAAGAGGAGAAAAAAATATATATTCTACGTCAGGGAACGAAAAAGAAAACCTTACAGTTCTTTTGGCAGCCAATGCAGCTGGACAGTTAGCACCACCAATGATAGTGTTCTCTTACGAACGCATTCCCCGAGCTATTGCCGAAAGTATTCCTGAAAATTGGGGCATTGGCCGTTCAGAAAACGGCTGGATGTGCGGGAGTACATTCTACGAATATGTAACCAATATATTATATCCCTGGTTGGTTCAAAACAATACGAAGTTCCCCATAATCTTTTTTCTGGATGGTCATGCTTCCCATTTGACTAAACATTTGTCAGATTTCTGCAGAGAGAAACAAATTGAAGTTATCGCTCTATACCCAAACAGTACTCACTTGCTGCAACCCATGGATGTGTCGGTATTTAGGCCACTGAAACTGTTTTGGCGACAGGAAACAAGAAAATGGAAGACTGAAAATTTGGGAGAGCAAGTGAAAAAAGAAAACTTTGCGCCAATACTAAAACGTACATTAGAAAGTATAACTCCAGACTGCATAAAAAATGGGTTTCGAGTGGGAGGACTTTTTCCTTATGGCCCAGACCTAGTAGACTTTACTAAGTTAAACATCCAAAACAGAGCATCGACAAATAAAAGCGCCTGTGATTCTACAAAAAACCAAGCTTTTTTAAGCCAACTCGAAGCAGAAATCGTAAAGATATTTAAACGGTCTAAACTAGACACCTTTAACAAATGTTTTTACTTACCTATGTCAGAATTAGCTGATGTATTGCCGACTGAAGATTTGACAATGTACACTATCTGGGCCAAATATAAACATTTGTGTGCAGTTACTGTTTCTGAAAGCAATACAAAAGCTGATGATAGACCAGGTGTTGAGCAACATACAACCCGAATGATAACTGTTTCTGAACAAACGACTTCTTCTGAAATCGTGCCTCTGATATCTGTTCCTCCTGTGGAATGCCACGATGATAATTCTACGACATCTGCAAGGTCTTCTGCAGAAACACTTCAAAATAAAGATGTTTTCGGGCCTACTAACAATAGTAAGATAGAAAGGGGCAGTGAAAAATGTGGCACTAAGCAAAATCAGGACCTGCTTTCTAAATGCGCTATTAGTGACTTAACTTCTGCGCATAAAACTCCGACCAAAGTCACACCTTTGACATCTTCTGCTATTGCAGTAGATCAAAACGAGATAATACCATCTTCATCTACTGCAAGTTTTGCTCATCACATGCTTAATAAAGGAATTCTGGTGCCATCACCGTTTGAGAAGGCTCTATTTTAGCCAGAACCGACACAAAAGAAACGTAAAATATCCAAAGAAAAAATACCATCAGCTATTACAAGTAAGTCATGGAGAGAATTTTACGCAAAAAAAGATGCAGAAAAAAAAGAAAAGGAAGATATCAAAGCAAAAAGAAAACAACTACGTAAAGAGAAGAAAGAGTTAAAAGAAAAAGCCATAATTGAAAAACAAAAGAATACGAGTAGACGTAAAGAAAACATGAAGAAACGCAGACATGTCTCTATCACTTCCAGTGAATCGGATGTTGTAAGTGATGTGACATATGCGGAGACAGGAGGAAGTGAAATAGACACAGCAGATGAATCTGATGAAGATCTAACACTTATGGACTTGAAGCTAAAAAACACTATGAATGAAAATGGCAATAACAATCAAAGGCAATCAGATATTCAAGGCGACTCGATTTCATTCCGCTGTCCTTAGAACAAGCTGATGCAAAAACGTCAGATGAAGATATAGTATCACCTAAAGTTATAGTAGAGCAGTTGCCTTATAACTTTTCTGTTACATCAGATGAAAATTTAAATGAAAAGTTGCATTGTGGAATTAATACTTCCGTTTCTTGCAACGTTTCTGCTAACGATTATGTAATAGTTATTTGGAATGAAAGGAAATACCCAGGACAAATTGTTTCTGTGACTGAAGAAGGGGCGCTAGTATCTTGCCTTAAAAAATCCAAAGAATTTTGGCGCTGGCCTGTGATAAAAGACTTACAACTGTATAGTTGGGATAGTATTGTATGCCAAATAGCAATTCCTAAGTTTGCAAAAAAAGGCTGTTTTATTATTCCAGAAATGGATAATGTATAAATATTTAAACATACTAAAATTCAGTTACGGTGCCTTAAAGTATAAATTTAATGTTCTATTTTCTTAAAATTAAAGCTTGTTAATCCTGTAGTAGTTTTGTAAATGTTGTACCTCTTTTAAAATACTTAGTTACCTATTTACTGATTTATAAAATATCGGCTAATTATAATAAATGAAGGAAGGGAATGATAAGAAAGGTTAAAAAATATCCATTTTGTTGTTTTTATAATTTTAAGGTTTTAAGATACACCTTCTTACTATTACATCTTATGATTCAACACTTAATAACGAGACTGAAATCTAGCCTAGGAAGAAATGTTATTTACTTTTAACGACGTTGTCTCATTTTGATCTCATTTTGATTTTAATATGATTTTAATAATATTGTAAGATTCTAAGTTCAGAATTATAAATATAAAACATATTTTTTTAGTTTCTTTTATTATGAATAAAAGCGTAATAATAAGCTTAGTGACCATTATTGGTGCTGGCCATAATAGGAGCAAACCATAAATGTTGGGTCAACATTGGGTTTTCGGCCGACCGTCATTGGCTCTGTCAACAACAACTTTTTAAAATTACTTTTTGACTTTTCTATTAAAGACGATACCAATTTATAAGCTTACGTATGTACGGAAATCCTACTTTTATCAATACCAATAGTTTTGAATCAGATCTGGTTTTAATTAAATAACAAAAGGTCGAAAAATAAAATTAAAATATCTTAAAGTGACCATGACTGGTGCGTTTACCTTTATATATATATATATATATATATATATATATATATATATATATATATATATATATATAATATACCTTTAATCGAGCAACAAGACGTGCTCGTTTAAAGGTATTGGATAAGTTGATTGTTGAAACTTCCATAAATGTACATTTTATGCGATAGTAAAAGTAAACTACTAAATAATAAAATGTAAATCAGACGAAATGAAGGAATGCTACCAAAGAGGAAAAGTAACAATCAAATAATTGTTGTATTCAATTCAGTTGATCTACTGCAAATATTTTTACTGTGGCGTGTATGTGCGGTAAGCACGGAGCACAGAGTATTATCACATAATGTATAATTGCCGACATAAGTCGTGAGCACACTTTTTATTGGTCGATACGACGTTGACCACGCTAACGTTCAACGTGATTGGTTCATCAGTCGATTCTCGTCGTCTATTGGTTTCGAACGTATCATTCGGCTTCCGTACACTTCAGAGCAATAATTTTAGTGATAACTTTTTTAATTAATTTATTTTCGTTAATTGTTTTTGTTACCTCGTTGTTAATTGTTGTTTGTGCATTCCTTGTTATTAATTGTTTTTGTTATTTCTTGTTTTTAATTATTTTTGTTGTTATAATTTGAGTGTTCAGATTTTGGTCTAAATATGCAGAGGGAAGAATTCGGTGTTAAATAGACAATCCCGACAAATGGTCTATTCAGTGTTTAATTACATGAAAAAATTAGGTACTGCGAAAAACATTATAGATGTATATAAACAGACTGCTGAGGCGACTAATTTCTCAGTAGCTACTGTACGGCGCACCGCAACACCAGATTTTATGGAAAGCATATCACCTCTTCCTTTTTCTTATTTAAATAATCAATTCTGACCACCAGGTATACTTTATAGTAGATAATAAAATAACGGACACGAATATATGCAACATTACTGTATCAAAGTAAAAGTTGATGTGTTCGAGTAAACATTTTCATAAAAGTCGGCGAAAATATTCATTTACGAATTGAGATAATAAAGGTACCCAAAAATTTTGCCCGACAGTGTACCTACCTCCCACCACAGTTTATCTGTGCTCACGACTCGTGTCGGCAACTATGCATATGGTTCATGCCGCATCGTGAATAAATACGTTCTGCGTCGGGCTAAATGGCTGGGAAAGCGTTATGATTGCATGCAGGTCTGTGAAAACTCCCCCTTGAGGAAAATAATAAAATCTATTATAAAAAAAAACTACTAATATAACTTCAATACTATAAATTCAAAAGTTATGTAAAAAAAACCTTTAACGAAATATTTCGTCATCGATTTCTCTTCAACGCATTAACCGATTTTGAAGCGGTTTGCAGCAATCGACGCCCTTTCCCATGTTTAAGAATATTTAAACTATGATTATATAAATAACAAATATAGATTTTAAAATTGATCGTTACACCCGTATAATAGTTATTTCATTTTTTTTTATTAAAATATTTATGAAAATATTATTTTTGAAATTTCTTAAACATTATCGGTCCACATCGGTAGAAACTGTATTGAAAATCTAAATTTGGTGAAACCCTTCCGCCACCTAGTTCGTACAAATCGGTCAAGTTGATTAAAAAAATATGACAAGTTTACGCGCCCACGTATACGGACACGCACAAACACACGCACACGCACATGGACATGCACACGCACATGGACATGCACACGCACATGCAAACCGAGTACCAAGATTATTCCCTTAATACAATCAGTCAAGCCTTTACAGTAGGTTGGTACAAACAAATAAAATTGTAATGTCTCTTTGTAATGTCAAAATAACAGTTTTTTTAATAATTAATTATTAATATATTTTTATACGTGGTAGAGCCAAGCTGCAGTTATATTTGTAGTGTAGTTGTAGCACGAATGGGTCGGCTCGACCGGGGAGGGACTGCGCTCTCTGGTATTCTACCAGCGTGAAATAGTAGCTTAATGTTGGTGTGTTTCGTATGGTGAGTGTAGAGAACTGGTGACCCTTTTTACTGGAAAAAAGGCATTCCATTTTAGTTCTCACAGGTGACAAAATTTTGATTTGTAATCGAGGATAGATGTAGATGTCTATGGGCCGGAACAACCACTTACCATTAGGTAGAGTGTGTACTCGTTTGTCACCATATATTATTACAAATTATTTTATAACAAAAAAAATTATAAAATGTTTGTCTGTTTGCTTGTTCCGGCTAACCTCGCTGCTGATGTTAAAAGGAGTAACTTAGGCTACTTTTATTTTAGAAAAATAATTTGGTAATAAATTCTAAGCTGGCAAAGTCGTGGGGAACAGCTAGTTTAAAAATAAATATAGGAAATTATCACTAAGTACGACTCTGTCAATATAAAGCGAAGCGATACAGTATAAAAACTTCGACATGACAAAATCTACAATTAACCAAGTAAAACAAAGGCAATAAGTAAGTTAATAAAAACAGGGATAAATAACTATTTGAAGCAGGAATCTATTCGATTATTAACATATTTGAGCCGCAATCTAGAACAATGTTTGGTCCGAGTCCAATATGTAAATAGGTTAGGAGTCAAGTAGGCTACCCGAATTTTGCGTTCTCTAAAACTCAATTTAACAACAACAACAACAGGATGAACTTACATTTTAATTAAATATGATAATATTTGACATATTATACGAGTATGAGACGTTTCACCAGAAAATCGAATTATTTTTAATATTACCGTTACTGTTACAGCCTACTAAAGTTCACTGCTGAACATAGGCCTCCCCCATAGATTAGGGGTGACATTTTTCATAGTCGCTACGCTTGGCAAGCGGTTTGCCAACCGCAGTTTTTTAAAATGTTTTCGTGTTCACGGGCGGCGGTAGCGGGTAGTCACTTACCATAAGATGAGCCATTTGCACGTTTGCCCTCTCTTCTATATAAAAAGCTAGTTTTAGGTCATTTTCAATAGAATAGTAACGAAATGATTACCAATCCAAGTGAATTTTATAAGTTGGTCGCCTTATAAGTTGTTACGCCTAAACTTGTTAAGCCTACTTAGCTGTGATAGTTTTATTTTTTACTTCATTATTTATACCAATATCATGCAAGCTTTTCACACTTCCGAAAACAACGGTTTAGTTGCTAGGGGGGACACATGACTCTTTTGTAAAATAACCTAAATATTTCGCAAAGGGACCCCTGATGTTGTTCCTTACCCCAGTATGTTTGAAAGACCTATCCAACGATACACGATGGAAGAGATGGGTAAAAAAATCATCCTGCATTTACTTGTATGCGAGGTATCCAAAAAAAAGTGTTTTTATAAACTTTAATTCACTATTTAAATAAGTAACGTTCGGAAATTTAGAAGTTTATTTTTTGTTTATTTTATTTAGAAGTTTTACTACAATAGTGTAAATTGTTACTTGCTAAAGAAAATTTTGAAAGAAGACAAAATATATTTTTAACACAAGTCTTTCTTTTCAAAATACCGCGTACAAAATATTGTTTATATTGGACAGACTTGAACCTGTGAATCTATCGATAATTGTATGTTTAACATTACCATCGCAATGTTCGCAAATTTTACTGTGGATCTAATTTTATGAGGGCAGAGTCGCGCTTGAAAGGTGCTGAGAGGAAACGATTTATTTTAGACAGCTTAGTTAACTAGCTTGCCCGAGGTGTTCTGACCTCTTTAATGGTGTAGGGGCGATGTGCGTAGAATATTCACTACACCACATCATCCCGTGGGTGTCGTAAGAGGCGACAGAGGTAAACCGATACAGGAAATGGGAAGCAGTATATTTCTATTATCAATTCAAAATTATAATATCTACGGTTGCCGGTTACGGTTGCCTGCTGAGCGGGCAGCTGTGGAAAAATTC